ACAGCGTCTGGTGTTACCTCTCGCGCCGTAACATCGTCCAGAGTAAATCTCACCTCGCCTTTATCGATCGATAACTGGTAGAATACTGTTTCAACGTAAGAATTTTGCGTCATCTAAGTTGGTGGTGTGCGTTCATCGGACTCTTCTCGAACGTGTGTGGTCCATATCATTTCACATTCGAAGTTGAGTGACCAGGCTATTGTTAGGCGCTAACGAGAGCTTTGCAGAGGCAGGATTCTATCATTTGGAAACACCAAACAAAGTCCGTAGAATTTGCACGGAATGGCGGTGGTATTTGCAAAGTATATTATATATATTCCTTCTTATTCCTACAACAACAATCCCCAAAAAAAAGTCAACATCGACAGCAAACTACAACTTACAGAGCAATAAAAACGTCAAATGATACCTCCAGCACGTCATCGCTTAGACCTTAAAAACTCTCGCTACTGTCTCAAACCTCACATCGTCAAGTACTGCCCTCAAGACCCCTCCTCTTCGCGTGAGCGCCTCCCTACACAAATCAACTCCCCATCCTGTCACGACAACCACCAAAGCAAGCTTTACACTACCGTCGCACCGACGTATAACAGCATCAAGCTGCTCGTCGTCGGTGAATATCGACGCATATGACGGTGGTAGCCCCACTTCAGCCGCGATGGTGCGGATAATGCGTCTCGCACGAGAAACCAACTTGTGATTCGACGCATTAAGATCGATCATCTTGACGCCAACGAACGCATGAGCACACGCATACGACGAAAAAGAAGAAAAAACATACCAAATTCCCGTATGTTTTTCCTAATTTTATCTGAACGCCTGTTGATATCATATTGAGGGCCATCTTCGTAGCGGTGCCGGCCTTCATTCTCGTGCTGCCAGTGATGACCTCTGGACCGGTGACGGGATCGACGACTACTGTGCAGTTCCTTTCCATCCGAACTGCACTTGGCCGGACGCAGACGAGGCCTATGGTCAGCAAACCGAGCTCATGGGCACGCTGCAGGGCACCCAAAACGTACGGTGTACGCCCAGAGGACGTTATACCGATCAGCGCGTCGTCGGAGGACGGAAACAGGGCATCCAAGTCTGCCCGTCCTGCCTCACGCGAGTCTTCGATCGCCTCTCGAGCCGTCCTGAGGGCTCCGTCGCCTCCGGCTATGAGAGCAATGTACTGCATGTTGTCTGCTGTGTATGTCGGGGGGAGTTCTGCCGCGTCGAGGACGCCTAGACTGTTTGTTGTAACGTCAAGCCAAGTCAATTTCCTAGTGGAGAAATAAATACGCACCGTCCGCTCGACCCAGCACCCATGTACAGGAGCCTGCCACCGGCTTCAATTCTCTCTACGATGGCGTCAATAGCCTCCGCAATAGCTGGAAGCACTTCCCCGACTGCAGGAGCAACGAGGGCATCCTGGTCATTGATGATTTTGCAGAGCTCGGCCGTACTGAGCGTGTCAATATCCGTCGACACTGGGTTCCTGATTTCGGTTGTCAGAGACGCCAAAGGGAGTGTCATCTCGATATTGAGAGGTTTTGTGAGGCGGTTTGGCCGATTGTTTGTGGAGAGGTGCTTAAACATGGCTGATGAACAGCGGTGGGGGTATTTCAAACGACGCGATTAATTTACTATCGTTGGCCAGGGCGTGCGATATGGTCCAGTGGCAACCCCCTACCTCTCAACGGCCGACAATTCATCAGCATGACTTCGGTTGTATCGGTGCTACTGCAGTGCTGCAGCACGCTTCAGTTAAAGGGCAAGAGATGTGGATCAGTCGCTGGGAGGAGAAATGTTGACATGGTCTGTGTCGGGATCTGGACCGATCCTCAAGCTGCGAAAAGGGTTAAATAGCGCACAGATCACTTTAATCCACATTACCTTACTGGCTATCGAATCGTATCTGCAGGTTGCACATGGAACACTGGCTCTGGAAACGGAATCCGAAGGCTATACGTATTGGCTCTTCGGAAGGTCCGCGGGATCCTGCATCGTGACCTCTTGGTCATGAATATCGACTCGCTCGACTTGTCCAAATTTTCGCAGCCAAGACAAATGCAATCTGTCAGCGTTATCGAAGGACATCCTTTTCGGCGGCCTTGTGAGCTTGCAGTCGATATTGCGGTGCCGTCATTCCGAGACCGAGCAACGGAGTACCGGTAAAATTTTGACTTGAAATCAGGAGAGGGGGCGACGACACGCTCGCTCTAGTCGTCTGTGGGTTTTGTCAACCGCAATATCGATGTTGGATCACGAAATCGCCTCTCTTGAGGGCAGGTAACCGGGCCGTTCCGGCAGCCAGCACGATCTACTGGACATCCAAGCACCCACAGCCAGAACTTCCTTGTAGTCGTAACATTTCTCGCTCTTCACTTGAAAAGTTGGATGAATTCATAAAATTGTAACAGATATCGTCGTCGGCATCGACGTGAACTGTCTCAGCAGTATGAATCACTCCGGCTCCCGCGAGACAAAGCAAGCCCCCACCATCATCGGCTCTTTATCCCCTTGCCACGAACCATGTCTGCAAGAAAAACAGTACTAATCACTGGGTAGGTCCATCTCAGTACCGCTGTTATCACTCTGCTCACGGCCCTTTAGGTGCAGTACGGGAATCGGCAATGCTCTTGCTCACGAATTCCATCGACAAGGCAAGTTCGATGGACTACACTTAAAAGGAGTACATCCTTAAACTCTGAGCTCCTAGGTCTTGTCGTCTTTGCAACCGCCCGCAATGAAGCTGTACTCTCGGACTTGCAGAAAGCAGGGATGAATACCTTTGCTCTTGACGTTACAAACGACGAGCAGATCACCCGCGTTCGGGACCAGGTGGCGTCTATGACTGAGGGTAAACTCGACATATTAGTCAATAATGCGTATGCCCGTGGACTTATCCTATACTTACTCCCATACTCATCTTTATATCTAGTGGCCAAAGTCCGTCCGATATTCCCTTCACAATATCTGTCTGACACTCTGAAATCTCAGGTTTTCTGTCTGCCGCTATCGATCTGGATATGAAAACGGTTCAAGATATTTATGATGTCAATGTGTTCGGGGCAATGAGGATGGTTAAAGCATTCGTGCCCCTTCTCATTGCATCCAGTGACGCATGCATCCTTCAAGTTGGTAGTATCGCAGCCTTGACGCCCTATCCTTTTGGCTCCACGTACAGTTCCTCAAAGGCAGCTCTTCATGCATACGGGAACGCACTTCGTGTTGAACTGTCTCCGTTCAAGTGGGTGTAATACCTCTTTACTATTACTAACATAAATTCCTGATGCCGCAATAGCATAAAGGTCGTCAATGTAAGTTTCACATCTGTCACGCTCTCTTCTGCACCTTCACACTGTTCCTAGCTCTGTACAGGCAGCGTGAAGACTGACCTCGTCGAGCACATGCTAAACCCACTCCCTGACGACTCGCGCTACAAGTCTCTCGAGCCCGTCATCCTGGCGAAGCGGAGAGCAGTGTCCCAAGGTGCCCTTCGTTCAATATTTTCTATATTCCTCTTTGTCTTATTGTATGCAGATGCCATCACAGCTGAACAATATGCTAAGAACGTAGTAGGGGAGGCTTTGAAAGCATCTCCTAGGGCATGGGTTTGGTATGGCACGAAAGCGTGGATTGTATGGGCTTTGGACACCTTTCTGCCTCGCACTGCTTTTGTGAGTAATGGAAGATTGCGCTCGTTCTCTCAAATAACCAATTTTCTCAGGATAATATGATGAAGGGATGGTACGGTCTGGAGTCATCCTCAGTAGTGCTAGCCAATCTTTCAGGATAGTATGATGATGATGATGATGATGATTCAATGTCGGAAATCTGTACATCGTCTCTAGTGTGAAACAGCGATGATGAAGTTTAACAAAACATCTTTATTCTCCTTTATCCGCTGTTTTATCGTAAGCAGTCTTTTCTAAATATCCAAGATGCCAAGTCAACCGCCTTTGCTCCTTTGTATAAAGGAGAAATGTTTTGTTAGGAAGTCTCGGGATGTTCTCTTTCATCTTCAGCACCTTTTCGTCTCACTCTGGAATGAGATGTTGAAATGAGCGGTAATGCTCCAGCTCACTCGGATTTTAGCAGGGAACTTTCGCAAACGAGCGAGGGTCATCAAATTAACGCTGCCTATTTATCTACGACGCTTGTACACTGACAGATGAGTAATAGAATCGACGTTGTACTACCAAACTAAGTGAAGCAAAGTCAGCGGACAATATTCCTTCCTTGACACTTAACAACTGTAAATCCCGTAAATGCGCGACACTTGTCACTCCAACATGAGATGTTGCAAAGAAAATTGAAGGAATACCAAATTCTAGTCTAGGATTTGATCGAGGGGGAGGGATGCTCGAAACTTGTAAATAATGATTACCAGAATCCGGCACTGTGGGCGCGCGTCCAAACTTGGAATTCATCACGACGTCGCGTCGTCTCTCGCTGTTTCGGCCATTTGTGCATGGGAGGGTCAAGTGATGGCTGTGACGGTGTCCCCTCTTGAGGTCTAGCCGCACCTCTTTCTGCTACACATCTTCATGACTCGGAATTCTCGCCCAAACCTGAGTTTGATCAAACGAATTCCCTGCGGTCTTTTCGCCTACGGATGCCGCGCAAGTTTGCTTCATCGGATCTCTTAGTGGCGAGGTCCTCAGTCACAACAGTCCGATATGTTATGCAAATAATGATTTCGTCCTTTTATCGGTCTACCACACAAGAACCTTTACTAGAATTGCAAAACTATGTCCACTGCCTTCAACGTGCGTAAGATTGTCCTTTCCCCATTTGCTATCTTGATATCATGCCAGAGAATTCGGTGGATACGACCCCTTCTTGTCTTCCGTTGGAACTTGGATATGCTTCTGCGATGCGAAGAGGCGACTATGGACCCAGCCATTGATTCGGGCCAAACCGACTGGTAGGTCCATTGTCGTTAGGACTGGTAAGTTGTGGGCCGTGTCAATGTATGCTTTACGGCCGGTCGTGGAGACAAAAAAGTAATTCTCTCTGACTGGGAGTCGAACCCAGCTTTCGCGCGACAATTCATCACGTAGGAGCGGATGACAGGCGCGTGTACTAACCGATATACTATCAGAGACATATTAGACCACTGAAGAGCTTTTGTTGAGCTGCCCGAAGCCGAGGTTTGTTTTTCTACATCCACTACGAACGAGAACAAGGTATATGTGAAGCCTCGCCCTACCCACTCCAAATTTGGTGGCCATCCATGGATGCTTCCAAAACCCGATTTTCCCTACAGCCCCTTCTGCCCGGCATGGGAGAACAATTCCCCCTCATGCAAACGAAGTGTATACCGTCCATTCTCCAACCCTGGCTGCTGTTCTCACTAAATTTCAAGTCGAAATTCTCCCAGTACTGCCAGCGCCAGTTAAATATAGAGATCCCACATGTCCGGGCTACAGCTTCTACCGGCATTTTCAGCGTTGTTCGTTGAAGTTGGGAAGGTTTTGATACGATGGCATTGGCGCAGGAATTTGTCGCCGACTGCCATTACGAGACCGTAAAGCTTGTATACGACGATACGTCTCCCTCTCCACCTTCGCGGTACCATAAGAATGCGGAATTTTACTTAGAGTTTTGGAGAGCGGTAGGTGTCATGGCGTATCGTTGCTGAAATATCATCGCATCGTGTTTCAATTTCTGATAAATGGTACAAAAGGATAGTAGCATTTTGTGATAACATTACAACGGGAAACAATTGACAGCACTCGTACGAAGAACCTAAGTCTGGTGCCCAGAGCGGATATGGTCCATGTCATACCATCTCTTCATCATGTTGTCCTAGAACGATTCAGATTGTTTCGTGAGGAAAGACAGAGTGCAGCTTTCCGGACACTCACAAAGGCAGTACGATGGAGGAACGTATCCACCATCCATACAAACCACGACTTGCTTCCTTCCCAAACCCATGCCAGAGGATTGGCTTTCAGAGCCTCTAGTACCACGTTCTTTGCATAGTCTTCAGCGCTCATGGCACCTCCTGAAGGGAATATGTAAGAGAATAGACGGTGAATATTCGAAGGACAGGCACCTTGAGATACCTCCTTTCGCTTTCCGAGGACTATAGATTCAATAGACTTGTACAGCGAGCTGCTGGGAAGCGAATTCAGCTTAGTCTCGATGATATCGCTTTTCACGCTGCCAGTATATAACTGAAGGAGTAATATTTTGATTTCCAGATGCATATTCGACTTTCATATGCAACGCTCACATTTACAACCTTGATACTATGGTAGGAAGAATCATTTACGCGGTGGTTAATTTGAGAGCATAGGAAAACGCACTTGAAAGGAGACAATTCAATACGTAGCGTGTTCCCGTATGCGTGAAGAGCGGCCTCGAGGAACTGTATGTCGAACCAAAGGGGTATGGTGTTACACCAGAAACGCTACCGACTTGAAGAATGCACGCGTCACCCGAAGCAATGAGAAGGGGCACGAATGCTTTGACCATTCACATTGCGCCGAATACATTGACGTTGTAGAGATCCTGTACTCGCTTCATATCGAGATCAGCTGCGGCCGACAAGAAGGCTAGAGAAATAGATGTGAATAGAGACAGAGGGATATGATTTGAGAAACGGACATACATTGTCCACTTCACTACGATGAATGAAAGGAGACCATAAGCGGCTGAGGGCTTACGCATTATTGACTAATATGTCGAGTTTACCTCCAGTAATTTCTGCTACTTGGTCGCGAATTCGGATGATCTGCTCTGCGTTCTTAACATGTCTGAATCCCAGAGTTTGAGAGCTCCTAGAGTGCAGTTTCATTACGAGCCGTAGCAAACACAACCAGACCTGACGCCAGTCTTTTCAGGGTACAATATGCCTCCAGAAAAAAATCTCCAGCTTGCCTTGTTTGTGGAATTTTCGAGCGAGAGCGTTTCCAATACCTGTACTGCACCTAAACTAAATTATGAACTAAAGCAGCATGACATTTGAATCGCCGTACCCTGTGATCAGCACCGTGTTTCTTGGAGACATGGCAGGAGGTTGTTGAGTGTGAGGCGCTTGTTACACCGATAAGCCCTCAGAAACGTAACCTCCCGGGGCATCATGGGCGCCCGGATATTGCGAGGATGGTCGGCTATCGAGCCCTCCGAGGAGTATCAGGGGTCCCCATCCAAACTGTCAGATTGGAACGTCGTGATCTTTTCTGATCATCATCTTTGAAAGTACATTCTACACCGTTACGTTTCGGTTCGCACAAGGTTGCGAAAGCTGGGACTTCCATGAATCCATGAGGCAAGTCGCAGTGCAGTGTTTCAACCAACATTCGTAGAAAGAGTAAGCATGCAATGAAATCAGAATATCCACCTAGTTGGACTTCATCAGCTTTTTATCCATCTGAATAATGACAAGCCGAAGCCCGTTTGTCCCCAGCTGATATTTCCAAAAGAAGCATGCAATTATGAAAAGCGGTTGTAGATACCTGTTTGGCGACAACTTTAAGGCCCTAGTAAGCTGGATTATACCGGGGCCCACTGGCACGGCTTTTCGGTGGCCGCAGGCTCGTTGTTGTCCCCCTCAATTTTCGAAGCAAACACTTGATTTGTAAAAATACTGTTTATCTCGGGAAGTAACTCCGTAAGCCTTATCTCTCCTGTTAGTTGATTTGAGTTGCGTTAAACCGTGTGTAGAAAAGTCTCGTAACTGCACGTTTGAAACGTGTTCATTAGAAATTCAACTGACCTGAAATATGGATAAACGCATTCCCATACCTCTTGAACTCATTGATATAATTATCAGTGAATGTCACCTCGACGTTTCTACCCTACGCTCATGCTCTCTGGTTAGCCGATCCTGGTCTCCCCTCGCTCAGTCCCACCTATTCTCCCACGTCCGCATCGAGCCTGAAGGGCTCTGCACCTTCCCCGGGGGTCTCTACTCAACAGATGAATTTTCTTATCACGTTGAGTATCAAGGCGTCCCCAGCACAAACTTTTCCCGTCCTGGCAAACTAGCCACATTCGCGGCACTTTTAAAATCGACACCTCATCTCGGACCGTTCGTGAGAGAGCTGCATGTCGGTGCGTACCAGGATGAAGTAGTGGCCGCGAGACTCGAGCGACATCCGAGAGATCATAAACACCCTCTTGCCAAAGCTCTTTTCCTTGACGATAAAATTCCACAAATTGCAGAGCTGGGAGGAGCTACCGATTATTGCCCTCTCAGAGTCACCGAAGCTGACATATCTGGAGTTATCTCATATTCTGTTTCCTTCTGTCTCCAGCTTTGTTATCTTTCTCGGGACACTCCCAGCACTGAGGGTCCTTATCTTAGATGAGGACGTGTGCGTCGAGAATGCCTCCACCATATCACAAGTCCAAACTGTGCGATCTAAACCGCAGCTGTGCGCATTGACAGTCCACACCACACCTTCTTCCTACTGTACCATCCTTGACTGTTTCTTGTCCCCTTCGTCACCCGTCGATGTAGCTGCCATCCGTAGTCTGTCTCTCTTCTGTCGTCTTCGAGATAAAACCACCCCAAATACTGCCGTGATGCAATCCACGACACAGTTATTAATGCACATAAGCGGTCCACTCGAGCACCTTCGGCTGCCCGTCACTTTGACTGGTCAGTGATGACTGTCATTCTCTTGTACGCTCGCTTATGCTTCCGTTCTGTAGACCCGCTCTTCAAATCGATCTCAGTCTCCCAGCTCCGGTCGCTGTACATCTGCAGCCAGGCGGGGGTGCCAAAATGCCTGAACTGGCTTATCCAGACGCTCTCCCAGCCGTCCCCTTTGGCGTTGACGTCTCTCTCCATAGACGTCCTACACACAATCGCTTTTTTGCGATGACAGATTCGAGGCCACTACCAAGCTATGGAAGGATCTCGCCGCTGTCCTAGATTCCAGCTGGCGTGAACGTAAGGAACATAGGCAGTACGCATTAAAGGCGTCAGTCGTTTTGCCCGTATGGGCGCCCAGGCACAGGACTGTCGGTGAGGAATACTGAACGGACATGGGGCAGGGCTGGAGGTGGAGGTGAACTACTATAGAGGCGATGTGGTGTATAGCGGTAAGAGTGGTTTACGGAGAAGTTCTGGTCTGACAGTTCGACTTCGATCTCAGGGTCAGTATTTAGATTCGCGCTACATTGTGCCACCGTATCGTGCACCGACGGATTGGGCAGCTATTTGGGGTGTATGACTGACATGTTTTAGTGCTACATTTACTCCTACTAGTGCATTGGTCTGATCCTCTGTTTCCTGAGGGATCCGGTAGTACAAGCAAGTGCTCTTTTTCTTGAAAAATAGAAGCTTTTTCACTATTATAATGTCCAGTGTGAGCGCCAGCTCGAACTGTCAAGCTGTTCCTGTCAGAATATGGCAACCCTATAGCAGATGAACGTAACCCTGAGACTGCCGTTTACCAATCATGACTGCAGCTTTGCGTATTCTGCCCATCGAGGGTCCACGAGGTACGTGTCGCCAATCTCGGTGAGAGTGAGCATTGCATACTTCGCTTAATAGATATAACTTGTACGGTTCATAGACGGCGTAAACTAACTTCACAGCTGCTCTTAGAACGTTGACAGCAACGCAACAGATGAAATTAGAGATAAGAGTGCGTGAGAAGCCGTTAGAGAAGCGCCGTGAGGGCAAAGAAGCTATCGCTACGGTGTCATGTAGTATCCCATAGTCAAGGGACAGGTCCAGCGGTAAAGTCTACACAAAGTTTCCATTCGCCATGTTCGAGCACCATCTCCAGGCCACAGAACCATCTATGACCACCCAACAAATCGGACCTCAAAAAACTCCCACCGAACGGCTGCCATCCGAAAACATCAAAATTTCTGTGAAACTTCGCCAGTTCCAATCGATTCCGATTCGGGGGTGTCCGGGAAATCCAATCGGCTTCCACGTCAGTCAATGGAGTGTGCAGATACGTGAATATCTGCTGTAGGACTTCTCGTACAGTTATCGAGTCAAAGCCACGGATAACAAGAGGATCCCACCGTCCTGGAGACATCCAGTACTGTAGCATAGGGTGTCTCGAGGTGCAAGGAACATTTCGGACAGTATCAGGCATGAATGCGAATACGTGCAAATCGGGTGATACCACT